ACAAAAGGGAAATGAAAGGCCTATACAATACAATTAGGCAAGTAAGGGCTAAAAATAATAAGAATATAAATGCTCTATTCTCAAATATTGCTTTGTCAATAACCACAGCTTATGCAACAACATAACTACATATATATCCACTTTGGTATTGCAAACACAATGAAATTTTTAAATAAGCAGAACATCCACTATTAGGGATTTGGTTAAATAAATTATTTCCACGAAGGAGATATGTAGCAATTAAAATTTGTATCAGAATTGCATATTTATTTAATTGAGGAAAATGTTTATGCTATATTAATAAGTTTTAAACAAAAAATACAAAATAATTCATTTTTATCAAAACGCAAAGAAAACAGACTGGAAAGGTCTTTGTCCAAAAGTTAAGAGTGACAAAATGTTTAAAATTAATTAACAAACTTTGTGGAGAGGAGCTATGGAGGGAAAAAAGAGAAACAATTGTAAGAATCTGAACAATAAAGATTTATTAAATTAAAAAAAATAATTAACAATATATGACTAGTCTTTCAAGTGCTGATTCCTCTTCAAAGCTTATTCAAGTAGACATGCTTTCTCCTTTCATAGAGTCTCATAGCATTTTGCTTCTATCTCACTTTTAGAAAATAAAATATATCATCTCTTGTTATAATCTACTAGTAAGCATGTCTTACTTTCCTGGCCATAGTTGCCCTCTCTGAAGTCAGGGCCATACACAGTTCCTCTGTAATGATGGGTAGGGTGACTTGTGAAGCATCATTTTTAAGAAGGATACTTACTGATTATCCACAATTTGCCAGGCACTGAGTTAAGGCTTGGGGACTATGGATAATCTGATAATATTTTTGCTTGGCCTAATGTAGGATAAATCAAGGAGAGAAAATGATAAACTGGTTTTTCTGAGTACCCAGATGAAAACTCAGGAAGGAAACCAGAGCCAGCCGTGGAGGCTAGCGGAAGCTTTGTAGAAAAAGGACATTCAGGAATCACCAGATAAAGGGTGAGCTGGAGAAGGATGGTAATCCTGGAGTGGGAAGATGATCCAGGCAGAAGAAAGACCAATTACAAAAGCCGTTAATCAACCAAGAACACAAAAGCTTAGGAAACTGAAAGAAGTTCTGTGTTGTTGGGACCTGAGCTGAGGAAATAAAGTTTTTGGGTGAATTGAGGCTAGAGTATGAATCTCATACGCTCTTTTCACACTTGATTGTTTGTTGAACAACCTAACATCCACTCACCTTTAATAGTTTTTATATTCCTTAGTTTGCTTAGATCTTTTTAGAGAAATAGTGCTTAATTATTCTATTTTCAATTAAGAATTAAACAGGATGCTAAACAGAAAAGATAAAGTGTATTCTATTTTCTGTCTTGAAGCTGGAACTCCAAATGCTCTTCATTTTGCAAGGCTAGAAACTTTTAGTAATTTGTTATGCAGTTGCTCTTGGGAGGAGAGAGTTAATATAAACCAGCTGTGATGCTTCTTTCTCAGTTAGAAATTGTCGAGAAACTCTTAGATTTGTTTATAATTTGGTTTGTAATAACTTTAGTTTAATGGCCTGTTCAGTTTTTGTTTTGGATTATTTTGTAACTGGAGTAGCACTTCAGCTATAGTATACAGCATTTATATATAGTTGAAAATATGTTATGTATAAGTTTTTAAAATTATATATTTTCCACAGGTAATTTAAGAGGAAGTTAAAATGGAATTATGAAAGAAAGACAGAAAAGTTTTTAAATTTTATTTATTTCTGGCACTAGAATCTAGTACACTGGGAAGGAATATAAAGGTAAATACAGTAAAAATGAAGCAAATTCTCTAAAACCATTTAAGACCAGATATAAAAACTGCATCAACATAATATCCCTTTACTATCTTTTATCCACCACTGAAATTTACTTCCTTCTCTCATAAAATATTATTCTGTATAAGAAATGGGGCCAAAGAAGTCCAGTTAACATCAGAAACCACACCCTTTATTAACAAAATGTATAATTCAGGACTAGATAAAGGAAGAATATCATTGAGAGTTTGTCTAAGTTTTTAAATTCATCAGCTTGTATGCATATTTTTATTTATTTTATTTTTTTATTTTTATTTTTTTAAATCAATCTTTATTGTTCATATTATTACAAAGGGTCCTCTTTTCTTCCCCCCCTCCACAGGTTCCCACCCCAACCTCCATCCCCTCCCCAGGCCCCATTGTCCTCATCCAAAGGTGCACAGTTTATGTTCAGTCTCTTCCTCCCTCCACCATTCCCCCTTTCCCCCAGAACTGTCAGTCCACTCCCCTCCCATATCGCCGACTCTACTACAATGAACAGCTATTATTGTTCATCAGGTGTTTCAATCTCCATTTTTGTTGTTGTTGTTTTTTTTGTTTTTGTTTTTTTTAATTAATAAACTTTTACACTTCTAAGAATAAATTTTAAAATCTAATAATTGTTTTTTTTTCTGCCCTGGGAATTGAGATGCAAACTTATTTACATGTAAACTTGCCCTTAGGCTATCAAAAGGTGTAGCCATTCAAGTGTAAATGGACACATTGTTTAAAGATTGTTGCTGGTTGGAATTGGATTACCTGTTCTGGGTAGGAAGGGCTTGTCTATCCCTTTCTCCATTAAAATTAAGGTGTTAGCTTTAAAACCTCTTTTTGGCAAGAGACCTTAAACTTTCAGAACTTTAAATTTTTCAGGTAGTAAATCAATTACTTAGCATTTTCTCAAATCAATACCTCCACATGCCCAAGAATACACTTCACACAAAAGACATTTCCAAATAGATCAACCAACCTCATCTAGGCCCCACACAAGGCACTCACAGATCAACACCCCAGCGCTATACTGATTTAACACATCCAGATCTAAGCCTTCATCACTTGATTCAGCAGACCCTCAAGTCTGAGAGGCAGCCTTGGGGCGGGACAGGCAAGGAGCGAGCTGTTCCGGGCCTGGCCTCTATTGCTCTGGTCCATTCCACAACCAGCTTCTCTGGGTCTGGCCACTGCCGTTCCCGGCCTGGCTGCTACTGCTCCAGGCCTGGCCACACCCGACCCGGCTGCTCTGGGCCCAGCTGCTGTTCTGGGCCTGGCTGCTCCGGGCCCGGCCACTCCTAGCCTGGGTGCTCCTGGACTGGCCACCCTGGGCTTGGCCGCCTCCACCTCAGGCCTGGCTGCCACTGCCCCAGGTCTGGCTGCTCCAGGCCTGGCTGTTGCTGCTCTGGTTCTGGCTGCTGCTGCTCTGGGGCCTGGCTGTTGCTGCTCCGGGCCCAGCTGCCACTGCCTTGTGCCTGGCCACCCTAGGCCTGGCCGCCGCTGTTCCAACATTCTGTCCTTTTTTTTTTTTTTTTTTTTTTAAATGCATTTATGTTGCAATGTTGGCTGCTGAGTTGAGTTCTGACTTAGTCTTCGATTTTTCAAGATAGTCTTTGTATTTTTTCTTAAGTAATTTTACTCTCTTTTGCTCTCACTTGATTTCTTCACATTGAGAACTTCATTGGTTTCTTCCTCCTTGTCCTGGGAGCTCAGCAGGTTGGCCTGCAGCACCTCTTTGTTCTCTGCGGGCTCCTGCGTGGCCTGCACTCAGCGGTCGAAGGCCCAGGGGCACCCCCCCCTGGAGGCCCCGTCACCCAGCTCCTTGCTGGCACCCGGATGGCCGGTGTCCGGCAGGGGCTCCTGCTCCTCGTCACATTTCTCCAGTCTGGATCTTTTTTTCTCCTTCCCGCTAGGGGCGTCTAGCATCAGAGTCAACAGACTGTCCTCTGCGCTCAATGTGCGTGACTCCGGGGGCTCCGTTTTTTGCCTCTCCCCTGGGATTCTGCCTCACGGCCCCGTCTCCCCCTGCCTGAGCCTGGGTCCCCAGGGTCTGGCCTAGAACTGGGGTTCAGAGCAGTCAAAACTGGGGCCCAGCACGGCTGGAGCTCCTGTTACCTTCCCGCCAGGGCAATCCCGCATCAGAGTCAACATTCCTTCCCTTGCGTGCAATGTGCGTGACTCCGGGGGCTCCGCTTTTCGCCGCTCCCCTGGGATTCCTCCTCACAGCCCCATCTCCCCCTGCCTGAGCCTGGGTCCCCAGGGTCTGGCCCAGAACTGGGGCTCAGCGCTGCCGGTTCTGAGGTTCAGCCCAGTCTGGGGCTTTTATTTCCTTCCTGCTAGGGAATGCCAGGCATGCACCCAGCCTTCTCCTCCTCTCCGGCTGCATCCTCTCTGCGCACGCCCGTGCGTGTGTGCAGCTTGTCTCCGTACCTTAGGATTTTTCAGCTCCTCTGATTTTCCTTCTGGTTTTCTCTTTCCTTCTTGTTGTAGAATTTTCAGTCAGTTGACTACCTGTAGCTCTGGGCAATGTCCACTCTACATTTTAGTTGTATTCCATTGAAATTGTTGTGTGCTGCTGCGGTTAGGATTCTACCTGAGCAGCCATCTTGGATCCTCAGTCAATGTGTGCATATTTTTAGACATTTTTTTTATTTCCTAACTTTAGGATATGGTAAAATTGTGAGAAGAATAGGGATTTATAAATGAGAAGCTAATAGAGTTTGAAGGGAAGTATCCCACTTGGTATTTATAAAACATCAAATAGTTTTGTACTTTCATAAATATGAAAATTGAATAAGAAGCTGTACATTAAATGTTGTATCTTCAGAAAAGACTAATGCCAACAGCTAGTCACCTGAGGTGTTGAATTACATTAAAAAAGGGGACATCCTGAAAATGAGTTTGCTTGGGGTCTAGTTGCTTAGGAGGAAAAAGGAAAAACAAACAAGCATGTTAGTCTAGAGACCAGTTTAAAAGTCTATCTTGGTTGCAGCCTTCCAGTCTGATAGCAATCACAGCTCCGCGGTTGAAAACCTATTGGAAGGAGCAGCAAGGTTAATGAAGAGCAAGCTGAATCTCTCCAGAATAATTCATGCTGACGTGGAAATGTGTGCTGCCATTTCTGCTCTGGGGACTCAGAGATGCTGTTATTCACCCAGCCCTGCGAGGGGGAAGGAGCACAAACTGACTCACAGTTCGGGATGTTGGAGGAGCGGAAGGACTTGTTAGGGAAACCATCTCCTGGATTGCTAGTCGGAGCTTCAAGCGATGCAGGGGATTGCTGATGCCAATTTCCCTCTGGATCTCAGTGTCTGACAAAGCAGACATGATGGCACCACTCTTCACATTGGCTCGGCAGGCTGCCACATACCAGGCAGGCATTCCCAACCAGAGCTGTTGGATAGAACAAAATACATACCAGATTACCATAATAATTAATACGTTAGTGTCTCTTATGTGCCAGGCACTGTTCTAAGTACTTTACATGTATGAACCCTCTTGTTTCTACCATCCTGTGAGATAGATGCTATTATTTTCCCCAGAAGAGACAGATGAACAGAGACATTAAGTAATTTATTTTAAAATTTCAGATAGACAGTGATGGAGATGAAAATTTGAAATTGAGTTCCTGGAGACTGCAATGTAACAACTAAGTTTTATTATTTGGGATAAAATTAATAGTTGTGCAACACCAATTCCCCTCCTTGGAGTTAGAACAAGAATAGCTACAAGCTGCTTTTGGTAAAGGCTCAATTGGTGTTTGTTGAATGGGTGACTTCAATTTATAATTCTCCTTCGGGATTTTGAGTGTGAGAAATTCTGTCACAGAAAGAGCCAGCTACCAGCTCCAGCCCCATAATTTTGATCGAAACCTGCCATGTAGCTAAGCTACATTTATCACGCATCAACCTACACTATGTAATGCTTGTGTGAAATCAATTAGATGTTCTATATGAATAAACTTATGGAGAATGAAATGTGCGAATAAAAGACACTAAATTTATAAATATCTGGAAACCTTTAACAAAAGAGAGTAACAACATGAATAATGAATTAGAAATTAGAGATTTCAATTTTTCAAGTTTACTGTAATGTTCTTGAGAGATTTGGATATTTGAATCAGTAGTGCAATGAGCATAGCACAGTGACTGACACTCATTGTAAGCCCTGGATGGACACCAATTCTCAGGCATGTTATGGCATCTGAATTACATATACTTAGAAAATGAATCTTCCCTCCATTTTCCCTCATCATGAGTTATGGGTAGAAAGCCATCCTTTTACTTTGTCTGAGGAAGAAGCAAGAGCACATGCAAATGAGCAGTTTAAACCTTGCTTTTTCAATAGCTAAAATAGTAAGTTTAGAGGGCTGTTTATTTGTTGATAGGAACAGATAAAGCAACAGGAAGCATGAGAGTGAGAAAAGTGAGAAGAGGAAGATAGAAAAAAATAAATCAGCAAAATGCAATGCCAAGAATCAGAAAGCCTGGGCTCTATCTAATTCCGTCCCTGTCATCAGTGAGCCATGTGACCCTCTAAACCTCAGCCTTATTTTTCTCATTTGTAAAGGGAAGGGATTCAGCCTCATTACTCTAGGCATTGTGTTGGGCGGCTTCTGAGATGGATCCCAATGAGCTCCTCTTTTTAATATTCCTGCCCTTGTATAATCTTGTTCCTTTGAGTTTTTAAGGAACAGACTATGATAAAAGTGAAGGGATGGATGGTGCTTTCCAGATTAGATTATAAAAAGACCAAGGCTTCATTCCTGCTAGCCCTTTCCACCTCTTTCCTCTCAGAGCTCTTGTTCTGCCGGAAGCCAGCTTCCATGTTGTGAGAAGCCCCGTGAAGATGCCCACATAGCAAAGAACAGCTGTTTCTGGACAAAGGCTAGCAACACACTGCATCATGACGGTGAAAACCCGAGTCAGCCTCAAAGTGTATTCTCCCCAAGTCAAGCCTTGAGAACGCTGCTGCACTGGTGGTGAGAGACTGAAGAGAGGCCATAGCTAAGCCATGTCCAGATTCCTGACCCACAGAAGTCATGAGGAAAAATAAATGCTCAGTCAGGAGGTAAGTTGTTACATGGTAATAGGTAGCTAATAGAGATATCCTTTATTTAAATAAATAAAAAGTCTGCCACATTGAAAGGCTTTTTTTCTATAAGGGAAACAAAAAGCCAAGTCTTTGAGTCAATGTGGGTTAGGCTGTGATTGAAATAAAGAGAAAGGAGAGAGGGGATCTAGTATAGTGCTTAACTGAATCTTTTATATACTCTTCCCGCAGGTTAGGCCAATGAATTGAGCTCACCTAGACAGATATGATTAGATATGACCGAAGTTGGTACTTGACCTCTTAGTTTATGAACACAGGTTGTTCAAAATAACTAAACATCTCCATATACCTTCGCAGGACCCTAGTTATTTTCCACTTCCTCTCTTTTAAGTAAGATATTTGGATTTCAAAACCCCCGCCAAAACAAAATAAAAACAAACAAAACAAAAAACAGAACAACTTGCGGAAATGTTTGGATTTATCCAAAGGCTTGCCCATACACTGTTATCAATGTAATCCATGATTAGACTTTTAAAAGTTTTGGTGTGGAAAAATGGTGTAAGAAGCCTCAGGCTCACTTCTCCGCATCATGCTTAGCCGGCTGTATGCACAGGAGGTGCTAATGGTGGTGAGACTTGGGAGCTCTCATTCAGTGGATCACCCTGCTCATTTATCTTACTTATTCCATTTTATAATCCAAGTCACTTTAAGAAGCACATTATGGGCAATTTCAGTATGTTCAGATATGTTTAATTAGCACAAACTTTACTGCCCGTCCTTTCCTAGCCCTTTAAAGTCAGTAAAACTGTTTATTTTATTTTATTAAAAGGACTGCTTTCTTCACTTGCCAAAATAGCAGCTAACTCTCTGTCAAAGTATAGCTCATTTTATTGGAATGAAGCTGATCAAAGAAAGGCTATGAAATTTGAGGGGTGCTTCCTTAAGCATTTTGTTGTATAAATTATTTCTAAAATATAAAAAATGTAAAGACATGTTTCGAAGAAACAGCTCTGATTACTAAAATGCTGAAAATCCCCTGATAGGAGAGAGTAAAATAAAGCAAGACAGAACTTCTTTCTTCCAGGTCAAGAAAAAAAAAAGTTTTTATTTTTTAAAACTCATAGGGCTTTTAATTTTTTCTCATTGATCAACTCTTCTGCTCTGTGTATGATATGCTAATGAAAGTGGATAACTTTATAATCCCAAACCACTGGAAACAATGAGCTCTGATTGCCTCCAGCAGGCAGGAAAAGCCTGTGTTCTTCTTTGCCCCGATGATGGCATATCTCAGAAGCCCACTCTACTGAACTAAATAGAAGGGGCAGCGAACACTCCAGATAAGTAGCATGAGGGACCCCTTGTGGTCAAGTATGTATTTCCGGAATTGTCCTACTTGGCTCCTGATGCCCTTCACCCTGCTCAGGTTTTACTGAATTTTCCCAGGCCCCTGTGTTGTGCAGGAAATGCTGACTGTAGTGCTTGTTTCAACATAACATTCAGTTTAGACACAGGAGAGGAAAAAAGGAGGGGAGGGGTACATCTTCTGTTTCATTCCAAGTGGTTAAATCTAGCTGGTCCCTAGGCGTTAGAGAATTAGGCTCAGGAATTATACTACAAGGAAAGGAACAGTTCTCTAAAGTTAGGTGGCCACGGTATCTCTAGGGAGAATGTCAAAAATGGTTCTTCTCTGTAACCTGCTGCTGAGCTTCCTCTAGATGGGATGGGACCGGTGTTTTCTTGCAACAACAAAAGTGTGGCTCAAAAACGGATTATTCCCTTACTCTAGACATAAAGAGGGTGGAATTTAGAGAAATTCCCTTTTATCCACTGGGTATATCCTTCTGCCTCAAGCACAAGAAAGCAAAACAGTTAAATTGCAATGTTCACAAGTCCCTAGAAAAAGAAAATATTTCTTTTCTGAGATGTTACAGCCTATTGAAAAGCTACTTCAAAACCTGCCTTAACCTGTGTCTCTAAAAAACAATAAAAACAACTACCAAATGAGTGATTGAATCAAGAGCCTTCTGGTTTAATCCTCTTACCTCTAGCCATGCAACCACTGTGGGCCCATCCCACTGGGCAAAAGGTAAGCCCTTCCTTCGAGCTTCCTCTAGAAGTTCATGCCTGAAGTGTATAACAGAGATTAGTCAGATAACGTGGTAAAAGGTGGCTGTGGTTATTTTAAATTACATTATTTTTAAGTAAATCAAATAATCCTTTATAAGTTTTTTTTTTATGAAATAATATAGAATAACAGAATTCCTCAGAGTAATCCATGCAAACCACTCTTAGATTTTATTAGAAATTAAACAATGACATCTAAAAATAATTTTCCTTATATTTAGTCACTAAAATTCAACTATTAAATGTTAATGCACTAAGAAGCTGAATTATATCATCAGCAAATATCTTATCCCTTTAACAAGAAAATAGCCCACATAAGCATATTCAAATATACATTGTGGGGTCTAAATGAGGTTTCTCCCATCTGCCTTGCTCGTTTTCCCTTATTATTTCAATGGTAGAGGAGATGCCTGTATATAGAGGCAGAAGATAAATTTGGTCATTTAGCCGCATTCTAAAGATGTGCTTAGTTTTAGAACTCTCTCTTTGATCCAGGTGGCCATCTTAGAAGTTAGTTCTTTGATTAGACTACAAAGTTACTTCTCATTTGAAGTGAAACCTAAAGTAAATTGACTTCTATCACAACAAAGAATGTAAGGTCTGAAACTCAATAATATACTCTTTTCCATTTATAACCACTTCCGTTTCTAATGAAAGCAAAAACACTTCAATAACAACAAATGTTTGTTTCTGACAATGAAAAGTTGTAAAGAGTCCTGACAAACGCATCTATAATCATGGTCCCTACTCCTGAGCCTTTAGAATTGACATCCATTTACAATACCAATTTGCGTTTGCTTATTATAGACATAGCAAGTCTGTTTTCTTGCTATATATATCTGGCCAGAACTATATTAAAAAATGTATGCTCTGTTCCTTAGTAGGCTTTGATCGTATACACAAATAATAAAAATATATATAATAATTGTTTTTTTGAATGTGTATATTTTGTGCTTAGGAATCCATAATTAATATCATATATCAACTCCAAAATAAAATATTTATTTTCTGTCAATTAATTAATTGCTTATTACAGTGGACTATAATATGCTAAAATACATGATCAAAAATGACTTCAAACAGGAGAGCTTTTTGTGGTTGCAAAGGATGCTACCAAGAAGTATGTATTGTGAAAAATAAGCAAGAAGACAAAACAATATTGAAGTTATAGCGGCTGAAGAGACACATAAACCAACTGTTGTTTCAATTGATGGGATAGGAAGAAAAGCATGGGTACATTCTGCAAGTAAGCTAAGCAGCACCTGGCAAAGGCGAACAGCGACACGGATGCCCTGAATCCCCAAAACTACCAAGGGCCTCCTCACCTGGCTTGCTCTGCCATCACCCATTCCCTCAGGCTTCCTCATGCCATCCCTTCATTGAAAACCAGATTCAAATAGCCTAGTCTCCCTGTGACCGGTATATTGAGAGAAATGGGTTGAAGTGGGTCAGACAACCAACCATGAGGTACTTATTGAACATCTGAGGAAATAGACATGGACCCAGTTTTCCAGGAGGTCCCTGGTTAGATAAAAAAGTAAACACACAGAACTGTCTGAAAACATAATGAAATATACAAGTAGGTGTTAAGAATCAGTAATGCATATTGTGAGTGTGAGGATTTAATAAAGAGGGCTAATAGCCTGGGAAACAACTGGTGAAGTCTTTCTGGTAACTAAGCTTCGAAAGGCAAGCAGAAAGGAGATGGGGATCATGTTCCAGGCAGGACAAGCAGTAAGGGCGGAGAGGCAGAGGCAGGATTGAGCGTGGAATATGTGCAAGGACATTTAGAGAAGACCTCCTTTAGAGCAGACCTCTAAAGAGGTGACGAGCATTAGTAAGAGTTGTAATTTACATACATTATGAAAAGGAACATTTTCACTTATGTGACAGGTGAGTGACATTAAAGTGGAAGTAACAAGCATACATTTATAATAGTCTTTTCTACATTCAATAAAAAAAGAAAGAAATATGCACTCAACACTTAGAAAGCACATAACATTTTCACATGTGAATTATATGAGTTGTCCAAAAGCCATTTTTAAAGGTTAGAAAACTTTAATTGTAAAAGTTCTGTCTAGTTTCCTAATAAAATTGCATCATACAAGGTAGAGTTAAAACTTAAGTCAGATAATGTAATCTCTACTCATAAATTTTCAATTACTTCCTGTATTACTGAGAATAAAAGCCAAAGAGTCTCAAAGAATCTACCCTACTCTCTTCATCTCTTTTGCTCATATCACCTGATGACACTGGTGTCCTTGCTGTTACCTGAAAATAGCCCAGGCCTCTTTCTGCCTCAGGACATTTGCACCTGCTATTTCTTCTGTCTGAAATTCTTGTCTTCTTTATCTCCACATGGAGATACTTCCCTATCCCTACCTGAAGTCTTTACTCAAATGTCATCTTCTCTCTGAATGTCTCTTACCTTCCCTCCCATAATAACCAACAGGCACTTCTTATCCCTATCTCTTGCTATATTATTCTTATTTTCTAACTTAAAGTGCCATTTATTCCTCTCTGTCCTATCCCAATAGAAAATAAATTGAAAGAAAAGTGAGGTTTTATATGTTCTGTTCAGAGGTGAATTTTAAGCATCTATCACAAGGTTAGGCACAAAAGAGGTACTTAGTAAATAATTGTGAATGTTGAATATGTAGACAAAACTTTCCAGTAAGGTACTTTTGTTTCAGTAAACTGCATCCCATAATGCATTTTTATAGTCCAATTTTTGAGCCACATTGTCAGAATAGTATCCATTCCAGATGATTCCAAAAGTTTGACCTGGTTTGGGATTAATGATGAAAATCTGGTTAAGAGTCAATCCAGTGTGCTTAATAATTATTTTCTCTTTCTGAACAGATATTTTACTATACAATTTTTTGAAAAATCATTGGACAATGTGGCCCTTCAAAAGTTGCTTTTGTTTTGTTTGTTGTGTTTAAATCGTATACTTTCATAACTTTAGTAAGAGTATGCACTTTAGTTTTTCTTTTAACATCTGTATGCTGAAAGTGTATATCTTAACATAATTATTCCAAACAGAAATATACTATAAATCTCAATCAGTTGCTTCAGAATATTGATTAGCTAAATATATATATTTAGCTCCATGAAATGAAGAGTTTCAAATTCAACATTAATATATTTGACTTGATTTGGAAAGCACAGCACACTGTGATTTTGTGTGTGTGCAATTGTATGTGTTTGTATATTGTATTAAGGTGCATTTTTACATGCAGTGCATATAGAAGTCCATTACATATTTAAGCAATGCTTGATTTAGAGTCTAGGAACACAAGCTAGATTGTTCAGACTGAAGTGATTTGATTACATTAAAACCAGAGTTCACTCAAATTGAAGACTTTTTTCTTCAAGTTACTTTGAAATGGAAGGCATAGTCTCTGACAGGACAATGAATTTATGTGTGAATTTGAGTTGGGATTTACATAATTTCTTTCTTCACTTGATTTTAAATGTAATGAAAACCATTAAAAATACTCATGCACACGCGCACACACACACATACACACACACAAACACACACACACACATAAAAAATGATAGTACAATACAATTACTCATGCTGATACTGAAAACTAGAGGGGTTTGCATTATCTTTCATTAACCATTTTCACTGTGTTCTGTTCTCCCAATTGGGGACTTACTAGAGGAACGTTGGTAAATTTTCAGGTTATTTGCATACCATTTAGACTAGATTACTTTAGTACATCATTTAATTTAAGCCCTCTTTAATTCCAGTTTGAAGTTTCCAGTTTCTATACTTCTAAGGTTATTCATATTTTCTTATGTTGTTGTGAGAATTATGAAGTGAGAGTTATATTTATATTGGTGAGTACAGAGTACATACCTAGGTCACCTTAGTCACTCAAGGAAATGAAGGAAATATGTGGAAAAGTTGAGGCTTAAGTCTTGTTTTCTGACTCCTAATTCAATGTTGTTTCCACCCCAAAATTTTGTGCAACATTGTTTGTTCTATCTTCTCCTGACATTTTAGTCACCTAAGCTTCCTTTTAGCAACTGTACTAAGGAAACTATTTTGATATCCAAAATGTTTAAATTTCAGGAGCATGTGTGAGACAAGAAACTGCATTTTAGAATTAAGGCAACTATATTGATTCCTTAAGGTCCATAAATGACAATACCTATTCATTCATTATTTTTCAAATTTCATTCAAAAGATAAACAGAAACGAAGTTTTATTTCTTGGGATTATTTTCCTTATGAAACTTAGAAATCATTAAAACATGGAAGACCAATGTTAAGTGATAACATGAAAATAATGCTTTAAAAATCATTGTCAAAGTATTTATTAATTTGAAAATGTAAGTTTGTACAACTTGCATTAGGCCAGCATGGCTACCAGCACTCTAACCGTAGGTTGTCTTGCATTTTTAAGAATACTTATCAGAGTTTTCATTAGTATGAATTTCCCAACTGGAGTAAATATTTCATTGTTAAATAAGTAGTAGAATAACTACAATTTGAAATTGTAGAAGAAAATAAAAAAGAAATGTAAGCTATGCTAGTGAATTAAGTAATATTATAAAGCACATGACCTTATATCAGTACCAGAAATATCCATATAGCCAATTACTAAAATTCTCCACAACTTCCTAGATAATTGCATCTCATAGGAGCTATTTTATTTACTCTCCCTCTCCCCCAACTTTTGGCTTTGAACTTAAGAGCAATATGTTTCCCCATCTAAAGTGTGTTAAATAGCCCCCCAGGTTACCAATGCAAAGTTCACACCAATGTAAATATTTTATAAAATTATAAATAATTTGTTTTACTTTGAAGCCCAATTTGTTTTAGGAATAACTAGTATATACTAATTCAAAAGGTAAAATTTGAAACTAATCTGGATAGTATAAATGTTTAAAACCTTAAAAATTAATCCTTGTATAGGAAACAATGGAAAGAACACAAAATGAAAGGGTTCAACCAAAAATAAGATTGACTTTGGAACCTGAGTG